CACTCTCGTGAAACTTCAAAGTCTCGTAAGCGTGTGGATATGATTAGCCGTGCTGAACTCCTCGAAACCCTGCTTGCTCGCATGGCTGTCCTTCATCCAGCTCTTTGCCAATAATGTTAAAGGCATGCCCCAGGATCACACTGGTGTGGCTCTTGCACACGAATGTGAATGTATTGGTGCGAAATGGGCCAGTGAAGAAAAAAGGAAAAGAATCCGTCGAAAACGCTTAGGTTAAGGGCTCACTCACCTTCCTAATCGGCTGTGCTAAGGGAATGAGAGACTAAGCGCGGAGAGGAGAGTATGAGGCGAGAGAGCGCTACAGATGAGAGAGCGCCAGACAACAGCCTGATAAGAGAAAAAATCTGCAGCTTACTTTGCAAGGCCCAAGCGCTCTTGTCGGTTGGTTTCCGTGCACGGGAACGCCACATTTGTGATTGTCCTCTAGGGTCTATACTACAGACCGAAGGGAAGCGTTCACACGACCTCTGCCTGGGTTGTGCCTTTAAGGCCGACCCAAAGTGAAAAGTTTGTAGGCAACAACAGCAGGCAGATCGGACGATAATTGCCAATATTGTGCAAATCTCCCTTCTTGTACAGCAATACAGTTCGGCGGTCTAATCCTGCCGGGTAATATGTAGTACTGTAAATTTTAGGTAACAATGTAATGTAATTTTTCAGGCCACTTGAATACGATTTGGCTCATGGTTTAGGCGGTTGCAGGCGATGTACCATTCACTTCTTCTATTCTCCAAGACAAGCTGATACAAATAAACGGACCCGCAGAGATCGAAGGTTGGGTTGTAGACGGCGTACAATCCGGAACTCTACCCACTGACCGTGCGCCTGGTAGCGCCGTTTGTTTAGTTCGTACAAAGCCTTTCTGGAGAGACAAATGTTATGAGCATCAGCCAGCTCAAAAGCTGGCCTGTACATCGAACACCTTTTGAGCAGTATCAACAACAAATCTGAATCAAACTCTGAAGGCACAGTGCTTTCTAGAGTGCCAGAACTAAGACACATAATCTCTTCATCTTGTATGCTATAGTGCCAGACTGAAGACACATAATCTCTTCATCTTGACCCTTCTTTGATGAAAAATTAAGTCTTTAGCGATGAGAGACATCTAGTCGTCAAGCATTTATTGACAAATGCAGAATCAATTTATCGACAGAAAATATTCGGAAGAAATCTGTAGTCAGCGATATCATACAAACACTGGAGCCTTGAGTGTAGCCGGATCGCGACACTGAGTCGAGTCGAGTCGCGTGATCTGCGGAAGCAGTCTGATCGCCTTGGCCCTGAATGAAGTTATCTTAGGTTTTGTTTGAATGTTTGGTTAAGTTCTGCCATAAACATGATCAAAGCAAGGCCCGACATTAGGCATGTTCATTTGTTCCATCCCGATCGTGGTAGATAGGCGGACAAGCTTCGATGCCGTGGCCGCTTTGCGGTTTCAAAGTACGCGGCAAAGGCGCTATCAGTTCGCTAGAACCGCAGACCACCCTCTTCGTTCTGCAAGCTCGCTTCCACTGTCGGGTGCCACTGGCCGCCGCAAGAAGAGGGCAGCTGCGTTGCGGCAGCTCAGTATCGTTCGTCACTGACCGCATAGTAGCAAGTGGAGTTAGCGCGAACGGCATCCACTCACCGCCCCTCCTATATCCAATTGTGGCAAAGACGGCTGAAGCGATGGGTGCCTTTCTCGGGGTGCAATCGTGGTTTCTTTTTCCCTCTTCTCCTTTTCCAGGGAAATCATCGCCCTACTTTCGGGGCGCTTTTTCGAGAACCGCTAGGACTCCATGTTTACAAGTTTTTGGCTTTAGCTTTATGTATACCAGATTAGTCCCCCGTCAACCGCCGGGACCTTCCTTTCCTGCGCAAGCTTTCTATCCTCCGCTATGGTCCCTTCCTCCTGTGACACCAACACCTGGAAGTGACGCGTATGCAACACAATGGTGTTTCATACAGTAGAAGGGACACAATCATGATATGACGGTAGATTTTTCGCTTCCCTTCCTCATCCTCCCTTCCTCTCTCCACTGCCCTCCAGCTGCCACTGCAGCACCATGTGGAATGAACGGAAGTGTGCTAAGCAGGTGTTTATATAGCCCTAAGAGTGTTATCACAACTATCCTGCTACAAAACATTGATATCTCAAATCCTGTAAGCTACCCGATTTGTTAGCGGTTTGTTTATCCCATGAGCTTCCTTCTCACTCACTTCATTTTGCGGACGGACACACATACATACACACACACATACAGATACACAAACCGACACACAAAGTTAGCGCTTTATAAAATAGAAGGATTATATGTATGTATGTATGTGTGTTATAATTGCAACTGTTGCAAACGACGATTCAATTGTTACGATAAGAAAGCGAGCTGTTCCAAGGGAACGCGATTGCGGTGGAGCACCGAACGCGGTGTTAGAGTGCACTGTGCTCGCGGCTTCAAAGCACCCAAAGAAAGCGCACCCATCGCTTCAGCCGTCTTCCACATTGGGATATAGGAGGGGCGTGAGCGGATGAGTTCGCGAACGGCTAGCTCCACCTGCTCTAGTGTCAATGACGAAACGATACTGCAGCAACGTGGCTGCCCTATTCTTGCCGGCGACAGCGGCGCGGCCGACAGCTGAGGTACATAGAACTCAAAACCCGGATCTAAAGTTTGAGTGTGCATGAGGCGACGCGTAGGAAAGAGGGTACTTAACTACCTTATTTTTCTGTTTGGCTTTCAATTTTTCAACAATTCATTGCGATTTCAAACAAATTCAGGCATTCCAATGAAAAAGGCGGCAACCCAAACACGGAATCTCTATGGAAAGACTTGACATTATATCTGCTTCTCTGTTATAGTCACATAAACTATGGACGCGGAAGTAGCGCATTCCAGGGAGGTTTCTTCAAAAATGCCCAGCTAGAAAGGTCGTTGTTGCCAGAAACGATGGTGTTTCCTTACAACCACGCAAAATGACTTGTTACCGATGGTATCATGTCCCAAAGGCCATCGACTGACATGTCCGCCCCACACACTTCTTTCATTTCTTTATCCGTACTTGTTCCCTCATTGTCAGGGATCTTTATTTGGACACACATTTCTTTCTCGTAGGCTCGTGCAGTGCGCTAACCCAACTATGAAGAGCGCCCTTGTTCAGGGCCTATTTTGCTACTTTTTCGTTCAAGAGTATAGAGTAAGTTCACCTATTGTTACACACGTTAACCCCACTACCCACATCCTACCATCGTGGAGGGTGCCTTTAGACTCGCCAGGATAACGGAGGATCACGAAACTCCTAGTTTGTCGAGCTGATTTGAGTCCCTCCAAGGCCACAACATAAATTCATAACCCAGCATCCCTGCAACAAGGTTACACAAAAATGCACAACTTCAGATACCTGTAGTCTTGTGCTTCAGAGAACGGATTGTTTTCCAGGTATACGAGATTCAGATGAGGCAGTTCCACCAGTTCATCGAACACCTGCCAGTCTTCCAGCTGGAAAATATGAGAGATAAGGAGGCGCACATGGTAGCATTGAGGACTTCGTAGAGAGAATTTTATCGGAATTCAGAACCACACATTCTTAATTTACTCTGAATTTTCCCACTGAAGTATGTCGTACTTGCGAAGTAGTTGCAGCCGTTTACTGTCCCAGTTTTTGATCCTTTGTTTTTGTTAGTAGTTATTTCTCAATGCTGTCCACGATGCGAATGTTCTCAGAAAGAGGGACTAGCACCCTGACATTGCGACATAGTGCAAGGGTTAGCGCGCCTGCTCGGAGAGCACGATGTCAGAGTTCTAGTCTCGGCTTAGGGCAATCGTTATGCCCACGACTTAGCATTTTTGAGAAGTCGTATATGCAGACGACTTAATGGTTAGACCATTTTGATGAGGTGGCGTTAACCTTTCTATATTTCATTCGTATGGCTACCACATCTACAAATAAACCTAAAGGGAAATAGCCTCGTGACATCACATCACATCACAACATCACATCATTGAGGCCGCATTCACACACAATGAATTGAGGGATTCTTCGATTCTGGCGGAGAGCAACACATACCCTCCCTTGAAGAAAGCGAGAAAGTGTCGGGTGCAGACCATGCACCACAAGTGACGACGGCCTTCACAAAATGTTTGTTTTCTGCCAATGAAATGATTAGCCTGTTGCAGTTGTATTCTATCGATTGTCACTAATTACAACTATCATTTACCAGAAATCAGCTATCACTCGTGAACAACTTCTAACCCTGATTTACTTAGAGACCGTCGTCAGTTGTGGTGTTTGTTCTGCACCCGACATTTTCTCGCTTTTTGAAGGGGAGGTTATGTAGCAATCAGAAAAATCGTTGCGTAATCTCAGGTTGCACGTCATAGTCTGACTAAAGCGGAAACCATGGTAGGGAGACACATAAAGAAAAGGCACTGTCAGTACACTGGTTCAAAAGTGCGAATCGCGCGATTAAGTCGCTCAATTCAATCGTAGCATGGACGCGACATTTCAAAGTTTGATCGATTCACAACCTAAATAATTTCTTTCGCTTGTATGCCTAATCTCCAGATCGTACACTGTGCATCTTTCAGAACATTCGCTTAACTCTCGAAGCTTCTTCAGACGCTATCGCAAGATGTGCGGGAACCCTCGCGTGGCAATACAGAAACTTGTCTAAAAATATCTCTGTCGCGACTAAACTCTTGGAAAGGAGTAATCCAGGAGTACGTGAGAATTTCCTCCCCAGAAGTTCATCCTGCCCCTTCCTGAACATATTTAGGGAATGCCCCCGTATCTTGCGATGTTTGGCATCTTGCCGGTCTTCAGTAGGCACATTTGAAAAAAAACTCCGCATATTTGTTCGGACCCAGAGTAAAGTGAACGGCTTCGTTCCAAAATTCGCTAACGAGACCCCAAACCAAGGGACGGCCGCTGCGCTGGTTGTGCTTGCCAGAAGTACAAGTGGAGCTTCTTGAAATGACGAATGCCTTCAACTTTATGGAGACGATTGTAATTGAAATCAAGGATTTCCAAATTCTGCAAATTCTCTAAACCAGAAGTCGACTGGATTCCGTTTTGGGCAAGGTAGATCTCACGAAGAGTAGACAGCTTCGAAACACCCTTGAAAATGGTATACTCAGAAAGTGAAGAGTGAGTTCTACTTTGAAAGACTCAAATTGCCACCTGCAGTGATTCACTGGACATATTTACCATTTATAAAGTAGCTTACGCCCTGATGTGCTGACTCTGAGCTGACATAAGGAGAAGTCCGAAGAGGTGTTGGTATAAGGCGCTACCCACAACAAGCTTTGACGCTTGGAGCTGACTGCGCGTAAGAATAATGAGGGCGCTCATGTCCTTGGGGGGGGACATCGACAACAAGGCCGATGTCAGGTGACACTGGGACTAAGCCCAGGAGACGGGAGAAACGGGAGCACACACATATTGCTTGCATCTTCCCACAGAATCCCTTTCCCTGCCTAAGGCACAGTCCCAAGTACAGTAAGCTGGCTACTCACTGGATAGTCCCCCCCCCCCCCCCCCAATCGACATGAGCGCCGAAAATGAGAAAGGCTCAATCGAATGTTAAACCTTCACAGACCTCTACTACTGTAATGGCATTCGCAGGCAAGCTCAACACCTCGATCTTCTTCAAATGATCCAGATTCTCTATTCTTCGAATCTGATTCGCTCCAAGGAACAATCGGACGATGTTCACATTCGCATCGAGGTTTTCGATACGTTTAATCCGATTGTCGCCCAATTCCAGATACTCCAAGTTCACAAGCTAAATATATCACCTTCGGATGGAGTCCCATTCAGATATATGAATCCTCCTGGAAGATTACCGTGTCAAGACCTTCTATTTTGGTAATTTTGTTGTGCACGAGATAAAGAGTTTTCAGGTTGACGAGTTTCTCCAGATTTTCGATTTTGCTAAGGCGATTGAAAGAGAGATCGAGTGTTTCGAGGTTCACCAGTGTTGAGAGATTCTCTATTTTCTCTATCTGAAACCTCCAGCATGGTGAAAAAGCCTTCATAGGAAGAAAAACGGCGTTGGTGTCGTCGGAGGGGAACATCGTTGTACGGATGGAGCAAGATGATTGGAGGAACTGCGAAGAGAATACTCGGACGGGGGTAAGCAAACCAGCCCTGTCGCGTTTCTCTGAGGCCGTATGCTGAAATGTTGAGGAAGCGGATGGGGTTCTCGAGATCGACGGACTACTTGAACTCGGTCGGTACGGTAGGAGAGTGAAGACGCAAGTAGTGCAGCTAGGTCCAGCGTAGCTCCGCCAAAAGGGCTGGTTTGCTTACCACAGCTCGAAGGGCCCTGGCAGATGACGGACCCACACCCTCTCGAGATCCGTCCGCTCTTTAAGGCTTAGTCCTGAGGTAAGCATCAAATTGAGGCGGTTTTAAGGACCGAGTTGAAGTAGTCCGTCGACCGTCGGGGACCCCATCCCCTCCCCAACATTCAGCATACGGCCCCAGCAGAAAACCAAAGGGCTGGTTTTCTTACCCTACTCGGGTGCCTTTCCTAGTCTCCTCTACAGGTAATCCTGGGGGACTAGGAAGACGGTGTTGGCTGTAGGGCCTCCCTGTATAAAATGGCTGCCACCCGACGACACCAGCGGCAGAAAATCGCCAGTTAGACCTGGTTATCATAGAGATCCAGTTCAGTCAGCGTAGTGAGAGTATGCAATCCTTCGATGGTCTTCAGCAAGTTCCATCTGAGACAGAGCGTTTTAATCTGAAACACACCGAAGTGAGGGTCTTTATTATATGTGGAGTTCATTCTGGTTACCTGTGTAAGGAACTCAAACCCTTCAATCTTCTTGAGACGGGTGCGGGTAGATCCAAACTCAACGCATTCTATCGACCTAGACAAACACTGATCGGCCCTGTACCAAATCTTGAAGAACCCACTGGTTTACTTCTATGATGTTCTCTTCTTGAGATTCTTGAGCAGCATCAGCGGTAGTTTTCTTCTGTGCCACCTCAGCAGCTTCAGCCGCAGCCTCCTCCTGTCGCTCTTCGCGTTCTTCGACACATGCCACGGACGCTGACATCTCAACTGAACCCTTCCATGTAGTACCCTCCATCTTCGGATAAGACGGCCTCCGTCTGCTATCTCGCTTATCAAGCTTGTTTGTTGGAGTCAATGGGTTTGATAGGCACTTGTGCATTTCTTCTTCAAGCAATCCAAGAAATTATCGGCCATCACTTGCAGATGTTGTGGTCCGCGAGCTATAAGTTCCCATGATTTCCACTTGAACTCTTGCTCCTTCGGATTTTCGGCGTTTGAAAAAGATGCAAGACATGTAGCCGATTAAAGCTTCTGCTCAATAATACGCGTACTGTTCTCCATACTCGAAGGCTACAGCCGCTCTTGTAATTAGTTCAGAGCCACTCGAGGCGTTGCCAACAACAATGGTCGCCTCCATGTCACCATGTGCAGGATTGAGGTACCGATTGTTGAGAACTTAACGCAACAACTGAGGAGAACGGGTAAAAGAATGAATGGCGAAACGTCAAGTTCAAAGGGGTGCCTCCTACAGCTCGTCGTGGTTTAAGGACTCCGAAGAAGGCGATTCAGCCGAAACGTCAGTCATTATAAAAGTCTGTATCAATCTCGGAAGCTGCCTAAGACAACAAACTTGAATACTAATACTATGCCGAGATTAATGACAGAGTCGATCTTGGTCTTATTCTGAAACCTTATGTGATTTGATTCAGCTTCCTGCATTCGACCTCCGTGAACAATCGTGCTGACGTTTGAATGAGATGACCTACTTTTCTAAATACTATGATCGCCGCTATCTTGATTTTGAATCTATCATGAAATTGGGCCCTAGCCGAGGAACCACCTGTAGAGACTAGATCAAGTTTGGGGTGGGTAAGCTTGGGTGGACCTGCAGCATGCACATGACAAGCTGAGTTTTCCTCATGATGGACGACCCAGGCCCTACAGCAGAATGATCGAGTTTCTTCTAGGAGTTGAGGGGTTTGGGGCATGTGGTACGGTTTTTGCTGCCGCCTACTACAGAAATCCCAATTCTTGGACGGAAGGAAATCCTCGGTGGCGTAAACCATATCTCTTCCGCTTTTGCATCCACCCCGTAGCTTCATTCCCCCTTCTGACAATGAATCGCTACAGGACAATTTTAGCTGTCGCACTACGCGGCCCCCCTCTCCCTACTGAATTCATTCCTTGCCAAAAACTGGATTGCTTTGGGCGATGTGTATTGTCGCACCACACGCATTTCTTCTTCTGCCAAGCCCAGGAGTTTTGATTTGGCTTTCCCTGAAATCACCAGCGGTAGGCGAGCGCTCTTCGAAGAGCGCTGCTACTGGAAAAAGAAAAGATGACACACCCTATGTGGCGTTAAATTTTTCGAACCTAAAACTTGATCAACACAGAAAAATGTTGAATAATGGGGAAGTCAAACAAATTTATTAGCAATTTGATTGTATAATACAGTTGTACAGCTGCATGTACCACCATGAGCGCAACATGTGAACACCCAGTCTCTTTCAGCGACGCGGTACACTCACACGGAGCAAATTTGGACTGCTGACTGCAGGTGTGTATTGTTTGCTAGCACAACCGGTAAACGATACACACCACAAGAAATTTCCGCTCGTCGCGTGCGACATTACCTGGAATAATTCTGCGGCGACCTCAGAGCGACTAATTTCTGCAGTTTAGTCGCACGCGGTGAACTAACTATTATTGATTTAGAGACACTCAAGAATGACACATACTGGCGATCAATGCAAAATTCCATTGGAAAATCTTAAGACTGAAACCGCGATGCGGTTGTACGCTGAATATTCACATGCTGACTCAGGCAGAGTCATTGCCGTTACTGTCCAAATACAATTATTTGATAGACCGGCACAAAAACATAATTGAATGAACCATATACATTAGAATTTTTCTTGTCCCGAAGTCTCATGTGGATCCAAATGTGTAACTAACAATGTGAGACTTCATTTATTGCGAAAGACTTTCGCAATAAACAGTCGAAATCTCGAAGTCAGATTAGGCGTGGCTATGGATTTGACGTGGCCTTTGCCGCACTTGATAAAAGCCGTGAGGATAGGCTGTTTCTAACGTACTCCATTGGATATCAGCAGAGCATGCTTATCCGCGCAACTTCCATCAAATGCGGCGGCCGCCACGTCAAACCCATAGACACGCCTAATCTGACTTCGAGATATCGAGTATAATTCAAGTTTCACAATGTTTATTACAGATTTTGAACCATATACAGTTTTTTAATACCAGGCATGAGTTAATCACAGCACAACGCAACGAAACTATGGAAGTTAAAGATGACCATTCGCCATGAAGCGCTGTGTCTCATCTGTTACCCCGGCTACCGGATAGCATATCACATAGCCGACCGCAGTCGTTCCAGCCTTTTCTCAAGGCTCATCGCATCATCTTCATCGAGTTCACGATAGCCAACGGTATTTGACGGTACTTCAGGAAGCGATGGGACCAACTTGTCTGACGAAACCCTCGGTAATGCAGGGACTGGCTGAAAAGGCAGGATTTCAGCGACTTCAGTCTTTCTCTGATGGCAAATGGGTGCAATACTGCAAAAGCTGGAAGAATGGAAAAGTAGCTAACTTTTTGCTTAGCTATTAATTCATTCAGTTCCTTCTCGAGATCTTCGTCGTCGTGTTGTTTCGGCACTATGGCTTGGCCAATAGCTCTTCAATTTCGCGATAATCGCCCATCGCACTGGCAACCTCGTCCATGGCTTCGTCAATCTGTAACTAATAAATACATTGACGAATATAAAGGGAGAATCAAGGTAAAACTATCTCAAGCAGTTAAATCCCAAAGAGAACCTTCATTCTTAGCAATGTCAGCTTAACCTGTCAGCTCAATTCAATCGAGCCAAATTGCTTTGAAACGGCTGTTCCCATGCCCTTCGCACCAGGATCTCCTGTTGTGCTGTAAATTTCGAAAAAAGTAACCATGAATCCCGTCAATTTCAGAATACGACCATGGTTCTGAGATTGCCCACTGCACATGTCAACTGAAATGAGAGCTACTGAAAATTTACCTTTGTAGCACTGAGTTGTTGTAACATAGTCAATAATCGTTGGTATTGGACGTCTTTATCAGATATATCTTTCTGTAGGCGTTTCTTCTGACGTAATAGATTTGCTGCTCTGGTTTTATCATGGTTTCTCAGAGCAGCCCGACAATCACCATCCAACCTAAAATACAATGGTAACGTTATGAAATCAAGTAAACTCGCTAGAAATTAGTCATGACGTACTTTTCAACTTTTCGTTCAAGAACGGATATTTCTTTTTCAATTTTCGACATTGCCTTCCTGATATCGTGCACGCTAGCATCAGCCTCGGTGAAACGGACTGGTTCCTCGCTTGTTGTGTCCTGCACAAATCAGTACGTTAAACCAAAAAAGACAAGATAGGAGCATCATATTTCAGCTGTCCACATTAAAAATAGCTCTTGCAAATCTCACGAAAAATATTCTTATGCTCAGAGAAAAATGAGCCAAAGAGTCAATCCAATGTTTTTTTTTGCAAAAATAGCTACGATGAAATAAAAACTCACCCTAAACTTTAAAATCTGCTCGCCGTTGCGTCCCTGTCCAACAGTGACGTCACCTCTGTCAGAAAGGTGAGCAAGCACAATGTCAAAGTTTTCCTAATTGAAAAAATGTTGAATCCCAGCTAACGACAGGGAATAGAAAACAAGGATTTCAAGGAAATACCTTTCGTTCGAAAACAATATCAGCAGCTCTGTCATAAAATGTGGAGTATGCAATGATACTACCCGTTCCGTCGATTTCAGACTGGAACTCATTGCTGTACAATTTCATCAGATTATCCGCTTGCACCTGAGTATCAGATTCTATAGGAATAAGGAACTGATACGTAACAAATACCTGTAGAGTGAAGGAACACTAAAATTAACTTAATCACTGAAAAAAGCGAACTCAGTTCTAACCTTTATCGTTGGCAGATGAATGAAGCGTTCACCAGTCGTCGACTTGGCATTTCCGAAAAGCCAACCGGAAGTCTTAGTTAACTGGGAGAAACCCCATCCCACCCAGGAGGAATGCTGTTCTTGCCATTTGGACAGCGGCATCAGCACACCATACCTGAATTCAAATCAAAATATGATGAAATTGTTTGCTGCGCAAATTGTTTGGTGGCCCGATCGAACCCTTGAACAACTACTCTCCCTAAACGGATTCTTTCGAGAACTTCCGCATAACGAGAAAAAAGAATTCAAAAAAGCTGGTACTTACAACAAGCTGTACAGTACCCTATGTAATTGTCCCATGGTGAATTCCTACTTAATTATAAAACTAGAAACGGCCAAAAAGCATAAATTCACTGATATTCACAAGCACCTAGCTAGCCAAGCAACCAAAGCGCCAAAACACCATAATCCCTTTGACGCCCCATGCAATCACTTCTAGCACTACTCTTAACACATGGACGACAGCGTGGTCCTATATCGCACCCCACCCTAGGCTTCTCGCATGCACGGCTCCTTTCCAGATCCTTTATATATTTTCTTTGATCAATAATTAAGTTAAATAAGCAAAGCGTGGTCCGAAAAGAAGTAGTGTCTGTGTTCAAGTGTTTTTTAGTTGTTTTTTTTTTGACAGAACTCACAAAATCGCACCCGCCCTGGCGGCTAAAAAAGGGAAAAGCGCGGCGTCACCAATGTGTAAAACGTTTACATACACCTAAAGAAGCATAAAAAACCAACTTGCTCAAATGTTCTACAACAACGTTGAGACTCGATGGCACCTGATCACCTCGTCGAAATCGTTTCTTCAGTGAATCTACGCTTATAATGGCATTTCCCTCCGCTTCACAAGACGTTGATATCAAATCAGTCCAGAACTTTATTTTCCGGTCATGGTCGATAGGATTTATAGCGCGAGCCTGAAACATGCTTTTTGGTAAGAACGTGACCATAGTTGGCGTTTTGTAAGAAACCGAGAACTAACGGAACGGATAAGGATGTACCGACTGACTCCACTCATATGAAACATCGACGACTCAATCAGTACTTATCTACTTTGGAGCAACGCTATGGTTATCGTATGCTTGGATAAAAGTTACTCTTAAAACAGGCTTTCGGGAAAAAAGCTCTGCGCTGACAAGGGTTCACGATTGCTCACAGACACTGTTGAGGTTGTAGACAGGCAAGGAATCAACAGTCGTTTCCCTAAGATTTATTAATAAGGCTCTTTATCCCACACGGCTCTTAGTCTTTCCAAGGACCTCCGATCTCCCATATGCTGTATGCGGACGCAATTAAACGGTCCCTATCACGGTCCATGTAAATGTCTTGCCTCCGTCGACATATATCTTTACCGCGATACTTGATGACCAACAAACAAATGAAGGGCCAGGACAGTCATTACACAATTGCAAGATGTCTGATAAAATAATACCCACTTTATTTTGCTTCTTGCTCTCCTTTGACCCCAACCTTCCCTCTGCCAAATTATTTAAAAAATTAAAATAGATAAGAAAAATAAATTCGAAGTCTAACACAAATGGATTACCTTAATAACACTCATATATCCTTGCATCGCCAGGTCATCGTGCCATATTGGGGGCAGATACCGCCTTGATCGCTCATCCATCACGAGCGGTCTACAATTTGTACCAAGTTGAAGCCACTCGGAGGAGCCTCTTGTGGGACTAAATACAAAATTATTAGCCATAATTTTTGTTCTGCCTACCGCATGTATAAAATAAAGAACGAGGATATGCTTGAAAAAATGCTTTCAAAGATGGAAGGCGCGACAACTCTCCCTTTTGCTGTTGCAAGAGTGCTCATTTGCTCTAGCTGTCTGGGCTCTCCCACTCAAGAAAGGGTTTACGGACTACTTGCATTTTCGTCCACGGTCCTGCCACGAATGGAGCACAGACGATCAGAGAATGGCGTCTGGCTCGGCTCCAAATCCCAAGAGTGAAGCCTTAGGAGTAAGCCTTGTAAAGGGGAGGGAATCCGAGGTGGGTGAGCCAGTTGCATTGTGGCAAACGTTCGAATGTGCGAGATGGCAGTGGTGATCAGCCGCTGATAAGATGAGCGCAGACGAAAG